AGCAGGAAGAGTGTACTGTTATCAAGATCATACCTTTGTAGCCCTCAGCTCATTTCTTAACTTTTAGCCCCTCCCAGCCACTGGCCTTTCTCCCATACTTCCCTTTCTGTCCCTCTTCATAGATCTTTCATTGTATTTTTAAAGCAAGTAAGAGAAATTCCACAGCAACACAGGAGGAAAATCACAGGACAGTTGTTACCTTGGCGGCCCTCATCATTGGTAAACAGGCCAGTATCACTGCTGCTGCATACACTGCTGGTTTCACTGGAACAAAAACAAACAAAAAAAACATAGTTACAATTGCAGCAGATACAAAACAAAAAAACCCAAACATTTTATTACATTTTACTAGCTTCTCTGAGCCCAAAATGCTCTACACATCTCACAGAAATTGCATTTCAGACACACGTCTGGCTCTAGCATGGGACATAATTGCTTTCTGTTAAAGCCTTGCAATGCTGCATCACTTGAAAAAGAGTAGAACTAGACTAGATACAGGATTCTAAGTTATCAAAAAGTAATTAATACAATGGCATTTGCCTCGGGTACTAGAGTTAATAACCTAACTATGACACTGTCTGGAGCACTCACTAGGAAATTAAGTGCAGTTAAAAACCCTGTCCTTGGGTCACTTAACAGCTACTGAAAACCCTCTGAAGTTTTCTACTTCAGATTCCTTTTTCTAAAAATGTTATACAGGTACATAAACCCCCCCCATCAATCTACGGCAACTTTTATTTTATTTGGAGGGAAGAGCAGCTGGTACATTTATAACTCTTCAGCTAAATACCTTAGCACAGCATGACTCGCTGCTGCTGAATGCAACCTTGTTACAGCAGGCTTTGCATTTGCTAAAGCAGTGACAGGAGACTTAATTCTTGAACCAAAGAATTAAACCAGAAATTAATGTGTGGAAAGCCATTAATTGACTGTAAAGCTGGATGAATATTTGTAGCAGAAGTACATGCTCAGGTCAGTCCCAAGCATCTGATGGCTTTAATGCTGATATTAAATCAATCCTTGGACATTTTGGGCAATACTTCTTTTGATTTAGCAGAGAGATATCAGAATGAGTAGAAACTACTTACTACCCACCCCTTAGCACTAAGGCCTTAGATGCGAACATTAGGTATAACTCAACGCTAGAATCAATCTCCAGTCAAGGCATGCTGATAGAAAGCATCTCTGGGTCGCTCTTCTCCAGGGAAATTGGATCATACTAGACACCAGTATCAACTGAGACCCCTTGATTCAAAAGGCTGAAGGATGAGGGATCACAAGATCACAGAATCAGATGAGTCACCCCAAAGAATTGCAGGTACATAATAAAACCCCATTTTGTGAGCATATTATTGCTCTTAGAAAATGCACTCTGAAGTATAGCCAAATCAACTCATCATGCTGGATATCTACAAACACTGCATCTTCATCATTGTATAAAGGCCATTTAAGCTTAAAGAATGAACATAATTCCCGCATTTCAGTATGTAAGTTAATATCAAATTCCAAATCAATCCATTACAAAGTTTGGCCATCCATTCACCCTCCCACATATACACCACAGCAATTAAGGCTAAGGACTGAGAACCATGAGTCATTTGTTTCATTCCTAGCTCTCCTACCAACTCACTGTATGACCCTGGGCAAATCTCTTAGCGTGTCTGCTTTCCCTTTTGAAAGCCTGGATTAATAGTCCTCACAAGCAGCAGATGCAAGGATTGAGTAACTGCTTCATAAGGGTTTTAGCATCCTCAGAGGAAAGGTGCCTGAGAAAGGAAAAAGCATTAAGTCAAGATTCCAGATCATATTAACAGTACTTTTAAGCATCCTGTTGTACCGAGAGCTCTTTAGTTCCTTATACATACACATTGTTCCAGCAAAGCACTGGCAGTAAACTTTTCACAGATCTCAATCTCTCCACCACCCCTTTTACACTTCAGGGCTGATCACAAACTAGACTCCTACACTAGCCTTTCTGCAGGTCCAGTAAGCACTGATTAATGACCTCCACTTGCAAAGGAGGCTACTTACCTTAACCATGAAATAATGAATGCTATTGATCCGACAAGCTACTGCTATACAGTGTTATTGATCACCCAATCTTTGGTTAAAATGGTCCTCATTTAGCAATTTCACTGTTGCAAACACCTGGAGCAAAGCATGCTTATAATTAAATAGTTCAGGGGAGTTAAAGTGAGAGGTGATGGACAGAGATCTCAGGTTTTCCCCATTTATTCTTTCGCCTGAGCTATTGTTTGTGTCAGGAGGGATATTGATTTTATATAAAAATAAGAAAACAAGAGGCACCAAGGGGCTGCAGAAGGTCAGGCTGGGCTGGAGAAGGAGGGGAAGCTGAACACTCTGTCTTTGTCACTTGCCTTCCAAGACAGAGGATTTTTTTTCTTTACGGAGAGACTGGCCTCCGATTCATCAGCTTAGCCAGGCTCTTGCCTGCCACTGCAGGCTGTCATCGAAACAGCTCCCTGCCAAAGGGTAAAGTGACTGTACTGCACACTCAGGATAAGCACTGGTTACACTCCCAGGCCAGAATACTGTACTGGTTTATAGCTGGGATAGTGTTAAATTTTCCCTCACAGCAGTTCTATAGTGCTACATTTTGGATTTGTGACCAAAACAGTGTTGAGAACACACTGGTGTTTCAGTTACTGCTGAACAGCCCTTAAACAGTTGCAAGGGCATCCCTGTTTCTCACACTGCCCTGATAGCAAGTAGGCTGGGAGTGCATAAGAAGCTGAGAGGTGACACAGCTGGGACAGCCAACCCCAACTGACCAGAGGATATCCCACACCATATCATGTCATGCACAGCATACAAAGCTGGGGAAAGAAGGAGGAAGGGGGGACATTTGGAGTTACAGTGTTTGTCTTCCCAAGTAACTGTTATGCATGCATGATGGAGCCCTGCTTTCCTGGAAATGGCTGAACACCTGCCTGCTGCTGGGAAGTAGTGAATGAATTCCTTATTTTGCTTTGCTTGCAGGCATAGTTTTTGCTTTACCTATTAAACTTTTTATCTCAAGCCATGAGTTTTCTCACTTCTACTCTTCTGATTCTCTCCCTCATCCCACCGGGGGGAGCGAATGGGCAGCTGTGTGGGGCTAAGCTGCCTATCCAGGTTAAACCACAACAAATATATCAGTATCAAGCCAGTGAAGCCCCACAGCATTGGTGGGTCAGTACAATCCCCAGTTTGAAAGAGTCATGTTAAGAGTTACGGTACTTGAGAGTAATTAGACAAACTGCACATCCCTCACTAGTAAACACATCATTCAAAATGCTTTTTCAGACAGCTCTAGTACTATGGTTCATTCTGCCCTCAAGCCAAGCCCAGATCCATTCTGGGAGTACTCAGCTTAGACCAACAAGAGAAAGAACTTCAGCACTCAATATGTAATTTGCCTTTGTTTTATTATGGCTGCAGGGAATCTGAAAACATTACGGGACAGAAGGATATGATACTTCTAACAGTCTCAGCAGTTAATTGTCACCTTTGTACAAATATGCAAACGGCCACTTAAACTAAGACCACTTGTTTCCTCTGTTGTTTCCGTAATCTTTTATATATCATGCTTTGAGTCATGTCATTACCCAATTTAGAACCATCATTGTTCCTTCATCATGTTCCTGCACATCCTTCCTTCTCTCAACTTGTGTTCATCTCTTGCCACGTTTGGCAAACAATTTCAAAGATTTCATTTCATGCACTCTTTGAATCACAATACTGCAGCACATCTTCCTCCAGGAAAAGACTAGATGTAGTTCCACAAGCAAACTATAAAAAGTGCCTCCTCATTAAGGATCCATATCCAAAGCTTTCTCAGTGAATGGGAGTTTATCTACTGAATACAGTAGGTTTTTGATCTGACTTAGGATAAGCTTAGAAGCTTTCTAGAAACTAGAGAAAATGCTGTATATTTTAGCATTTACAGAGATTCATTCCTACATAACAAAGAAAAGCAAGTGTCAGTGGAGAGGAGGAAAAGAAGGTGGGAAAGAAAAAATCAGTTCTGAATATACAACTTAGTTTGCCTAAAAACACATTAGTTTTGTGACACTCCCCACTGCTAGAGGTATGAACAGTAGTGGAACTAATTCAGTATCGAAGTGTTTTGTAAGTTACCAGATCACCACAGACTGCTTCCAAGTCCCATAAGCTGTATCAGTCACTTCCCCTCCCATCAGCTTGTGATGAACTACACGGTTCCCTCTCCTGGGCATCCAGTTTTCTTCTTCCTTCCTCAGGATATGCCCTTGTTATACATCTGTGCAAATTACTTCTCTTATGGTACCAAAAAAAAAAGCTAGAGCAGAGTGAGAGTGAGGTAAGCACAGCAGTTCAGCAGAGTGCTATATTTAGAGCAGCAGAGACCAAAGCATGATCCTTCACTGCCGTGAGGGATACTCTGCAGTGAAGAGGGTTGTATGTATTTCTCCAACTTTGACCCCACCTAGTGAATCAGAGCACAGATCACACATGTGGTGTTGGAGAGGTCAAATATTCCAACCCCTTGATTTCCAAAGAGAATCCCAATGATTTGGCAGCAGATGGTAAGTGTCATTTGATGCAGACACTTGCACAATAATTAGTTTGAGAGCAAGGGACAACTGAGACAGAACAAAGCAATCTTCCAGCATGGTCCTCAAGTAACAGTCCAAAGCTGTTTGTTTACTCTTTCAAAGGCTGGCATAAATAAAGGCTGGATGAAAGCCTGCTGGTTTAAGTTCAAGTTTGACATGATGGAACAGACTCTGACTGGTGGAAAAAAAACCTCAAGGAACACTGTCCTTCACTGCCACACCAAGTAAGGGTATCTCTCAGTCCACCACCACTGACATGCAACATTCAGGGGCTACTCAGCACATTCCCCTTTCTAGACTACCAGCAAATAGCTCTGAAAAGATTAAAGTGCTTTAAACAACTTATAGCAAAAAAGGATCCACTAAGTCTTTTGAAAAGGCCCACTTTGCATCCACTTTTTAAGCAAACAATAGTCACTTTTTAAGGAAAAAAATATGACTTTTTGCTACTTCCACCCTATAACAGTTACATACAAACCACACTGATTCAGTAAAAATGCAATAGTGGTCCCCTGGATCAGAACAGCGAGGACATATTAGAATCTATGCTTTTCACAGTCTCCCAGAAAATTCGATTGAGAAGTTTGCACTTCCAGTTATTGTCCACAAAGCCCTAAATAGCCGGAGAGCCACCTGTCCACTCTGACAAACTGCAGGAGCTAGACAGCCACAACACTTAAATGAACTTTAACATATGCACCATTATACTGGGTCAAACAATTATACTTTCCAAATCCACTGTCTTATCTCTGATAGTGCCTGTTACAGTGAATGCTTGAGGAAAGAATTTGAGAATACTACAAATACAGACTGACTGTTTCCTCTGCTTCTAGCAGTCAGCAGTTTAAGGACCTCCTGAGCTGGATCTTCCATCTAGGCTGCAATGCTTAACAGTCCCTGATAAATCTATGCTCCACATGCCCCTTTTGGACATATTTAAATTTTTGACCTCCAAAAAGTCCCACAGCAGAGTTCCAAATCTTGTGTTTCACGAAAAAGATAATTTTTTGTTTTGTTTTAAATGTTTCCTCAATGTCTCCTGCTTCTTACACAGTGATAATTAGCAAATAAACAACCCTATTCACTTTCTGTATGCCATTCATTAAGAAATCTCCTCCATTCAATTCTCAGCAGTTGTTTCTTTCCTAACCTGAGAAATCTCTTCGTACAGAAGCAGTTTTATAACCCCAAACCTTCTATGGAGAAAATAAAAGTCGCACTCAAGGGGAAAACATCCCAAGAGTGACACACAAATTCAGACCATAACATTTATACTTCTTGTTTTCATCTCTTGTATGAGATTCTGCCACAAATTCAGCAAAGTTCTCCAAAACTGGACATGAAGACATGCCAGACTTCACTGTTTGCACAAGCTTATTCTGTATTAATGCAGTTCCCCACAAATTCTTTATCATTTTGCTACATTTTCCCCATAGCTAGCCTTTCAGGACCTTATTCCAGATCCAGAATAGAGATGAAGAACTGTGAACAAGATGTTTTGACTGAGATTCACAGAGTATCTACACAGAGAGCTAATGGTCATGATGGGAGATCTGTCTGTTCTCTAATACTACTTACGGTAAACTCTGAAAGGAAGAAATTGAGGTCAGTTCATATCATGCACACAACACAAGAGCCAGTGGTGGATTTACTCTCCAAACCCCAAGCCATAAGCATGCCGTTCTGTAGCTACAGGGCCACAGACACTTCAGAGGGCTCCTTGTGTAACAGGAGCATTAGCTTGCCAACTTTTCAAGGAAGTGTTTTCGGTCATCAGTACAGCATTGACAGGAAAGACATGGAAAAAAATCTACAGTTTAGAAGTAGCTGAGATATTTCTCCTCTTCAAAAAGAGAACAGCACTGAATAATTTTGATAAGAACTTCTAAAAGCAAGGCACAGGATTTACAAGCAGCTGCAAACAAGGCGGCCATCTGACTAGCACAAGGGAGAAACCGAGATCTCACCATTCCGACATGTTTTCATCTGAGCCCTGTTTCTGTTCATCAGCTTCACACTCCATCCGCTCCTTCCTTCCCCCTTTGCTGAGGAAGGCCCTGTTCTCTCCTGATTCACAAAGGCCATGACTGGATGATGTCCAAGGGGCATTTTCTTTCCAGCGTGAAAGACGCTGTTTCTTGGCTGACTTGAACCTGCAGCCCCTCTCGTAGTTCCACTCTGACACCCTAAGCTTTTGCTGGAGACTGGCAGCCACCTCTGATGTCACACGTTTGACTTTCCGTCGGCGCCTGAGAGGTCGACAGGGTGCATTCTCTGTAAAGGAGTCTGACTCATGCCACGAGTGTTGCTTGCTCCTCAGGGTAGCACTGAGAGCTGGGTGTCGTTTGACCATTGCCATGTCATCAGAGTCACTGAAATTGGCTGTCAGCACCTCACGGCAATCCTTGACAGCTTCATCCAAGCTGGACTCCGAGGCCTCACTGTAGCAGCAGGCATGGTCTGCCTGATGCGTAAAGTCTGAGCGTCGTTTACGACCCCGTCTCTTGCGAAGCTGACGCCGCTGCTGCCGTGGGCTTAGGGCCATCTCTTCCCATAGCTCATCCAGCTTGTTTTGCTCTGAAGTCTGCTCTAAGGCTGAGGCCAAGTCATGCACCAGTTCATCCATCGGCAATGCCTACTAAAAACGACAACAAAGAATTAGCACCAGACATAAATACTGCTACCAACACATCACTAGAGTACAGTATGCTATAGAGCCTTTGTAACATTAATGAAGTTACACACTTACTTGGAGTTGCCTGGGAGAACCCAATGCAGGACAACTGCCGCTTCCTGGGCTAACACTCACTCCTTCCTTTTGCAAGGGTTAAATCCCTCTTCTAACCATGGCAGCAGAGATCTCACTACTGCAGCGGCTGGATCAAGTGTTCTGTGTCTGAAAATGCCTTAAGGTTGCTTCTTTCGCATTGAAGAAAACTCTTATTACACATCTTAAGGGTGTGAGAGCCTGCAACTAGTTTGCTGCCTGATGTCAACTAATGTAAGCCACAGGGAAGGATTAGCCTGCTCAGCAAGCAGATCGAGTCTTCCAAAAAGTAGACAAGCAGCAAAGCTGAGAGTGGAACAGATGGTAAAACAGGTAGTTTGCAAGCCAGCATCACTTCAACAGCAAAACTAGGTGTGCGGTACCCTGTGCTCCTTAGAACAGGCTGTGTGAGACTGCCACAATATCCCACCCCTTCCACCTCAGGGCTGTCAGTGTGCCAATCACAAAGTCCTGCCCAAATCCCTCACCTCTCAACCTCCCTCTCCCCATCCGTGCCTTACAGACGTGGGATGTCTCTCCCCACCTCCTACCGGGATCATAAACACTCGCACTCCCGCCCCGGTGAAGCACCTGCTACCTGCAGGCCGCCTCCCTTAGTCCGAGCGTCCTCAGCGACCCGGCCATACCGTCTCCCTCCTCTGAGGTGAAGCCGGACAATCCTCGGGCCCTACTGGGAAACCCCACCCTCACCCACCACCCCTCCCCTCA